AAAGAAAAATTTTGCTTCCTTTCTTCTCCGTAGGTTTACTAACGAAATATAATTTATGTTTCACTTCAAACAAATATAACAAATGTATATAATGGAAATTAAACCAAGTATAAAGTAAATAATTAAAAAATAATATATATATCAAATATATGTGATAAAAAATTGGCTTGTGAAAATGATCAAATGTTGTAGCCTGAAATTAAGATTTAGTTTTCCTTCATTCAAACGTCATTTGAGCTGGCAATTCCACGGCATTTCACAGTTTGGTATTACGTGAGCATAATTCTTGCACACGGCGCAGCGGAGAGGAGATTTTGCAATTTGCATTCAACAATTTGCCCAATAAATAACGCCACAAAAGCAAAAGCAAACACTGCCCACACACACGCGCAGGGAGCACAGAAAGCTCAGCTTTTTCCGCGTTAAAATTTAATAAATTATACTTCGCCTGCTGCACTCATTTCGCAGCTGTAAATATATAAACGGCCGGATTAAAACCATGAAATATTAGTGAGAGACGCCAAAAGGAGGGACGTACACGGGCGAGCGGCGCGTGTAAAATTATTATTGCGCCGTGCTTTATGTGGCAGGATTAATCCTTTACTCGCGGAGGCTACTTGCTGATATTATGTACATTAATTTTCCCTTATCAAAGGCGGCCAGAGGAATGAGAAATACGTTTGTGTGTATTTGTGTTCGAGTATAATTTTTAAACCGCACACGCCGTGTGTGTTGCTGAATTTATTCGTGTTGGACCTTTTTGTTTTCAACTGCTTTCAACTTTTTTTTTTTATTCCCATAAATGATGCGATGCAAATATACGAGGGGAAAAAAGAAGTGGAAGAGAGTGTATGAGCATTCAAAAGGTGGGCAAATACCCGCAAACTGCGCGCGCTAAACTGCTCATTGAATGAAAAAACACACACAAAAGCACCTCGCCTGCTCGACCCCTTTATATGCCCTTTTTTATATTAAATTGGGCAATAATTTATTATTTATAGTATTGAATAAAAAAAAAATCGGAGAAAAAAGCGGAGTATTTTCACCGCCGCCTTTGTTGTGCTGAACGGAGGATTAATATACGGAATTTTTATCAAGAATTATTCCGGCTCGCCTTTCAATGGCTTAACTTTTAGTGATCCAACTTTCATGAAAAGCAATGATTTGCAGGCCCGGAAACTTTTTGCTCGAAGAGAGAATTAATGTTAAAATAATTAGTCTGCTCGTACTTTTTTTTCTAATTATACAGACAAGCTCGAGTATTTTCCTGGAAATTGCACTCATTACGCTCTGAAATGCTTATCTTGAATTGCACTTTCCCCTCTACAAATTTGCGATGTATAAATATGTTGCGCGGCTGCCATTTCTGGCTTGACGGAATAATTAATGGAAGAAGAAATGAACAAGTGGGGCCCTTTTTTGTTATACGATTGTGTGTGTGCCTCATTATTCATTTGCGATTTGAAAGACATTAATTAAATTCGCATTAAGATTCGCGAGGTAGATTGCGTACATCCTCTAATTGCATTTTAATAAACAAACAGCATCGAAGCAAAGCAGCAAACAGGTTAATTTCATTAAAAAAAGTGAGAGACAAAATTGTATGGTGTATGACACGAAAAAATAGAAATCATGACAAGCAGCCAGGGCGTCGCACAAATCTAAACAACTAATACAACTACAAATACCACGCAGTTATTTTTTTCCCTGAGAGTCTGATTGTGAGAGGTAATTTTATTGGCAGATAAATATGTTTGAAAATTGATTGGAATGAGAAAAAAAAGTAATGGTAATGAATATTGAAACCAAATTTTAGTAGCGTTTTCATAATAATTTTCTGTTTGGAAAAATATTATATTATATTTAAAATCAGAGAGTTTTGAAACTTGTGATATAAATTGATGCACAAGAATCTCAGCCAGAGTTAAATCAATTAAGAAATTTAATCAATCAATATTAATTCAATTAATACTGTTAACCTCACCACGGGTTTAAAAACTGGATGGACAGAGCTGGAGTTTTATTCATTATAATCCACGCCATTAATAAATTTAAGAACTCCCAATAATTTCTTAATACGTTTTGAATTGATCAGATGTGATGGAGAATTTTTCCAAAGCAGAATTTTTGCTCAAAAAGAAAATATTTATCATTTCTGAAAATCAACACCGAGTCCCCTATATTGCAGCACCTGTAACTCAAATCTGGCAATCTGGGAACCCTCGTCAGGATTTCGGCGCATAATTTATCAAGAAAAAAATCTGCGCCGGCTCAAAAGCGAATCATCCCCCGCGCTTGACCGAAAAGAAAGCGAGGGCGGCAATTCCGGTGGCTCTCTGTGAATATTATATATTCAGGAAAAAGAAGGCCTCTCGTCCGCCTGCTCAGATGATTGAACTTTCAAAAACAGAGGGAAATGAGATTGCAGAGAGAAAGTCACCTCTGCACCCTCTGGAGACGAGCCTGCCGGGGAGATTTGTGCATCTCGCAGAAATATATCTTACTCACTTGGCCGGGAGAGACCTCGAGGGGTGCGTCGGTCCGTCCACTTTTGCTAACCAAAGTCCATCATCTATTTTCTTAGACTCGCCTACTGGGAATAAAATATAAACAGCCGCATCACGTGGCAGCCCCAAAGCGGTCCCCGACCCTGCGCTCGATTTTTCATAAAATTTCGCCCCGCTCGTTTGTCGCTCTCGACTTGGGAAAATCCTTCTTGGAGAAAAAAAATATGCTTAGATTTACAATGGAAGCGAAAAAGAAGTTGGCAAATATATACTTGTTTGAGGATAAGTTTACTTTCACTAGACACTCATCCTTGGTCAAACACCAAACAAAAGCGAATGAACTGTTGGCATACAAACCCCTACAAACTAAAGAATTTACTTAAAAGATATAAAAAATTTATTAAAAAATATATAAAGTTAAAATGGTTTTTTTTATTCAATTTATCTTTAATTCGAGATTTGAGCGGGGATTCATATTTTCAAGAGGAAATCAAGAAAACTGTGCAAAAATAAAATGATTGAAAACCTCACAACCCATTAAGAAAAAAATACTAAATTCAGACCAGCTCTAAACAAATTAATTAAAAATAAAAATAAAGGAATTTTAGATTTTATTTATTTTCTATTTTTTATATTTTACTAAACCTTAATTTTAAATTGATTTGGTTTATTTAAATCTACCGCATTTTGTTTCATGAACAAAGGCTGCCAAATTGATAATTCGATAGCAAATATCTCAGCAAATTTATAAAAAAAGACTTGATTGTTAACAAATTAAAGAATGTTTCATAAGTGGAATTATGACATTGTCAAATTATCTGAACACTTGAGCTTAAAATGCAGTATATTTCTTAATTTTTTTGCATAAATTTTTCTGCATTTAATCTAACAATTTCTGACTTCGTTGCATGATTTGGTTTTCAAATGGAGCGTAAAATAAGGAATTCTCTGTATTATTTTCTATTGAAGTGGAGAGACACTCATGAGAGAGAAAGACCATCAAAATCACGCACCGCACCCCATTATTACCCTCCTATATTACATAACATCGTGTGCGGAAGCTCATTTAGGGGGTGCGCGTTCGTAATTATTTTTGCAGGGAATTTTTCCCCGGCAGCAGCCGCCGCCGCCAACAATCAAAACTCACCTTTGGCGGCGCACAAAGTGTGGGAGGCGCCGTGCACGGCGGCGATAATTGCTGCCATTCTCTTTATAGTGCAGCCACTGACCAAAAACCGCCGAGTGGTTTTAATATCTCTACGCAACAGGACCGGCCGTTTTGCCAGGCCAAAAATGCCAAGCAGAGACTCGACCCGGCTCGGTGAAAAGCAAAGCCTGACACATTATGTACGGAGAGAGAGGACCGGCCAAATTGTTATGATTCAATTAGCAACTGCGCGCCGTCATAATTTTTGCCTATTAGCGAAAATGCTGTCGCTGCTTTCTGCTGGTTTAAAAATAGTGCTTGCAAAAGAGTGCGAAATTCACCATTTCGTTTGAGATTTTCCAAACCAAGTCGGAAAGGAATTTGAAGATTTGCCAAATCAGCACAAACTGGTTTTGTTCAATTTCATTCTTAATCAACCGAACACGTACATTTAATTGAAATTTACTCTAATTAATTAATTTATAATCAAGGTATCAGAATGCAATTTAATTTCTGAACAATTGAAATTATTTTTTGGAATTTATTTCCAAAGCATCTAAATCATACTATAACTTGCTAAGAAAATACAATTTTGAAATTTAAACCGATACAGCTGGAGCCATGTAAAAAAAAATTGAGCTTTTAAGCAGCCTTTTTTTTAGCCTGTTGCACTTATCTGCATCTTCAATCACAAGCACAATAATTTAATTGTTCAGGTTTCATGCTATGCCAAGATAAGTTTTAGCATTATTTAATGTTTAAAAAATATAATTTAATGAAATAAAAATCTACTTCCTTTATAAAGTATTGTTTAATAAAATTAAACATTTTTATGTTTAAATATTAAATTTTTAAATTATTTGCCTTTTTTAATAATTCAATCTTAGTTTTAAACTGATAGAATTGCAACAGTTGTATCTCATGCAATTTTTACTTTTAGTTTAAAAAAACGTGGATACTTATATAAATAATTCAGTAATTTCCCGTTTCCAGGTCCAGTTACATTATGTAATATAAAATAAACAATTCTTATTGGTCTGCATATGCTGATTAAGTTAAATTTAAATAAAATTTTTATTGATAATACTAATGGTCATGCATCATAGAGTATCTTAAAATAAGAAACGAGTCCGAATGTTTACATTTGTAAAAGTATTTGTTTGTTTTAACGAAACTTTGACGGACAGTAGGTTGATGGCAGAATATTTGAACTTGACAGGCCGGGCAGGTGTGCTGCTTTATTCATATTATTAAGAATTTTCTGTTGGACCGCGTCAAAGAATAACGAGCGCGGTGCACTCGACAGCAAAGTGCTAATCACTCATCGCGTTTCCTCTTAATTCCAGCAGGGCGCCCAACAGCTTTCCGCAATTTGCCACGAGGTAAGCAGATTAAATCAAGAATATCTGTGATGTGTGTGCACGTAATACTTTCTGAAGTCGTAATTTTGCACCGCCCGTTTATGAAGAGACTCTCGTATTCGGTCTCAACACACGTTTTAATCATCACGACGAGAGCGCGCGTAATATTATTTGGCGATGGAGATTATTGTTTTTAATCTGCCCCCTCCTTCGCCTCTTGTCAGCGGGAGGAGAGCAATCGTTATTAAATCGTTTAATTAAAGTCAGAATGAGCCTCCCCGCGCTCGTAAATGTTTCCACCTTGCCTTGGAAAGAACTTGTTCTAATTACTACTCCAGAGAGAAGAGAACGAGATCCCTGCGCTCGAGCTAATGCGAAAAATAAGTAAGATTCCTTGATAGCGGTTCTCCAGTTTGATCGGCGCCGAAAATTCCCAAAGTACAATCAGTGCGGCGAAATTAAAGAGCATCATCTGCGGAGGCGGAATATAAGAAACTGGCGAAATTTGTGTGAAATTCTCATTACCGTCGCTGATGGATTTTTAATGGCGGAATTACATTTTTTCGTCTAATTATTGTCTAAGTACACGGAACACACAAGTGGCAGCTGATTATGATTATGTTTTTCTCTCGCTCGCGAATTTATAACTTCTTTTTTTGGCGGCGGCCGCCATTAATTAAACGTGCTGAGATGTAAAGGAATTAATGTTGTGAAAATCTGCGGCCGCAATTAAAAGATAATTATGGCCGAGCAACGCGTGATTTCCGAATGGTCCTCGCGAAATTCGGCGCTGCTGATTGAATCAATCGCGTCTCGCGCGCCGAGATTAATTAATAATTAACCTCGGCGCAGTTCGCTCTGCACCGCGCTTTTCGGCTGCTTCGCATTATTAGGCGGAGAGTGCCGGAGTTAACTCTTCTTGTCATTAATCTGCGAGCGAGTTAATTAGTTTTGCTTAATAAAGTAATGATGTGAAAGTGTATGGTACGCACACACATGCGAAGGAGGAGCTCCCGCCAGCGCAGCCAAGAAATTTGCTGATACGCAAGCAAGCCACCGCTTTCCATATTAACTATTAACTCTCTCGGAGCAGCCTTGTGAGTGTGTGTCTGTGTGGGGAAGCGAGTGTTTTATTAAATTTTACACATGTTCAACGCCCACTCGAATAATATCTCACATTGGAAGGTTATTCCTAATTAAAATCGAACCGTTTTTGAGGAGCGATTAATCAGATCACTTTTTGTATTTTATGCGCCTGGAAATTCAAATAATTATATGTAGGCGCGGTAATTATTGCGGCGCGGCGGACTTGCGGAGAAAGGAATCTGGAGGTGAACCGAATTTGTCTGCATGCCTAATGTGGAGTAATTAATGCTGCCAAAATCGAGAATCGAGCGTCTACGCCCACGGTCTTTTTAGAAAGTATAATATGTGTGTGCACAAGAGACCTTTAACCGCGCCCCGATTCGGTCGAATGAAATCTTTGGTAGCCGTTTTAATCAATTGTTGTTTAAAATCAGCAGGTTTATACTTTGAGATTTGCTACGGATAGGCAACTCAAATTATACATTCTAAAGTAAGTGAAAAGTCTTAGTTCTTTGTTTTCAAAAAAATTAAACAATTTCAAAATGAAATTGCAAAATATGGCGTGAGAATTATTTTCTTTATGCATGTTTGAGATGAAATTTACATTAAACGGTATAAACAAATCCTGAAAATGTAAAATTTAGTTTATTTTATGTCAAAATTGGACATTTTAGAGCAAAATTTTAAAGTGGCAATATATAATTTTTTTCCATTTGTTATAGATTTCCTATTTTCTAATTATTTCAAACCGATTCAAAATATATCAAACTAATATTAAAACTTCTATATACTTATTAATTATTAGTTAAAAAAGGACTTATTTAAATAATCTAGTTGCTATTTTTAAAAATTTCAATTGTTAAACTTAATTATTCTTCCTAATTTTATTTTCTGCAGTAAAGTTTCTACAATTTTCATTTAATTTTCTAGTCATTATTTAAAAGAGTTATTATTTAATAATTATCTTGTCTTTTTACAATCATTACGGCAGCAAATGTTAGAAAAACATAAAAAAATATCATGTTATTTGTAAAACTTAAAAAAACTGAAAACACAAAAATGCTCTTTTTTGCTTCAATAAGACTTATTTTTTGAGTTGGGACTATTTCTGGCATTTTTTTTTTTTCAAACTATTCATTCTTTCAATTATATTGTAATTTTTCCTGGAAAAGCATGTTGAGAGCAGGATTAAAAGAGAGCCGTGGCTAAACCAATAATAAATTTTGAGCAGCGCAACAGTTTCCTCCTTTTGCGCAATTCATTTAACCTTCGCAATTCAACTTTCCGCAGCATTTCATCTCGAGAGCGAAACTCGGTGTTAAAATGAAGAAATCCCCGTGGAGAGTCTTAATCTCGGCGGTTCCTCTCGCCCATTATGATAATACCCGGGCGTGTATATCACCGAGCCGTGCCTTCATTCTTCTTGCTGCTCTTCTCCGCCGCACCGCACCACCGAGAGCGAGGAGCGCCAGGCTGGCTCTCCGCACCACTTCTTCTTCTTCTGCTGCTGCCATCGCCGGCGTTGTTTTACATAGTTAACGGGGGCTTTTCAAGCTAAAGTAAACTCTTCCCATTAGTGAAACTGTTGGATTAACTTAAAAGTTTCAGATTAGGTTTGCTTTGCAGCGTGTAATCTTATTAAATTTACATATTAATCAACGGATTTTAATTATCCTACACCCCGCGCGTAATTTACATTAATCCAATAATTGGGTTTCTCGTTAGCAATTCAAATGAGCCCGAGTTACAACAGCAGTATGTAGCGGCGGCGGCACGGTTGCTCTCGCTTCTCTCTCTCGCTCTCTCCGCCACTGCGTACACTACTTTATGTTTGAACAGCCAGAGACGAAAACGACGACTGTCGTATTATAATAGCGGTGGTTGTGTGCCGAAAGCATTATTATTAAAAAGGGGTTCGGACTGCGCGATATGACAAGAGATCTTCATAAAGTGGTGCAAAAACTTTCTTCCTTCTTTTCATTTGTGTGCGCTCGGAGGCAAAAAGCAGCACCCGCGCTTGCTTGTTCCTACATCTGCTGATGGTGCCAAAATCTAATGAATTCGTACCGTTCTGGCAGCCAGTCTGCCGCCACCGGCCCTCCAATGAAGTCCGGCGCATTTGCATTTCCTAATTACTAACTCGCTGCCGTGTGTTGTTGTGCCGCTCTGCGTGAGGGGTGCAATTTAATTTTAATCTCGGCGCCGTGCAGATTCAATTAGCAGCTCATTCTTTCGTATGCAATTCCGGTCCCCGACTCAAATTAACTCTTTGGGTTTGGCGTGCGCGGTCATTCTCGGACCTCGGGCTTTATTATTAACAATAAAAATTATTTTTCCTAAAAAGTTATTATTTAAAACTTTCAATAAATGTTAAAAATAAATTGCAGTTTATATCAAGTTTGTAAAAAAGTGTTGAAACGTATTATTATAAATTTTATTTTATTATTTTATTTTTAAGATAATAATTTTTTAATTAACGAACTTTATGAATAAAATGATTAAATTTAAATTATTTTAGTATCATTTTTTATTTTACATTTTATTTTTTTATACTTATGTGTATTATTTTTCAGAAATAATCTTCTATTTCCTAAAATGTAAATTGTATTTTATGAGATCTGTGACAAATGTTATTAAAATACTCTTCATTGCTATGTTAAGAAATAACATCTTGTAAAAGTTCTCATGAAACTTTTGATATAGCTTTTAATTAAATTGTGGAAATGAGGAGCATATTATCTAATTTCAAATATCATAATTATCTAATATAGATTATCATAATGTGTTTCAAACTATTTATTAATAAATTAATATTATTATAATAATGTATATAATTGTAACTCTTTTGTTATTTTATGTCGAGACATTACAAAAAGTGCACTCAGTCGTAATTCACTCATTTACAATGGAGCCCAGGAAAATAGAAATTTAGGAGTTAAAGAAATATTTACATTAATTTACGAGTTTGCCCAATAATCGATAAATTCCGGTTATGAATAAAAAAATGGATGCACCTACATAAAACTTTTTAAGCAAAGTGACAAATTTGCTGCACCTCCGCTTCACTCAAACCTCAATTGGCAATTCAATTGTTTAATTGATACTAACAAATAAATTATTCGTCATCAGCACAAAAAAATCTAAATGCAACTTAATAACTTTTGCATAATATAAAATACGTGTAATTTACTAAATCCAAATTATAATTTTAAAATAGATTTTTTATGAAATCTTTTTAATTTTACCAATTATTACGCATCAGCATTGAGATTCTTTGAATATGCACTAGTGACGCCTATTTTTCCTTTCGCTATTGCAAGATATTTAAAAAACCAACAATAATAAGAAAAAAATCTAAAATCTCCATTGTTTCGTGCTCGTAGTTAGCAAATTAACACATCATCACAATCTCCATATTTCCCGAGCTACTCCCTTGCGGTTCAATCAATTCTTTCTCTCGATCTAATATATGGATGTGTTCGAATAGCACGAGAATGTACAAGTAGCGATCGCCACGGACGAATAAATTTTATCGACGCGCAATCGGCGCTTTAAATTTCGCCCCGCAAGAAATAAAGAAGTGCGCAGCCCTCACGGTCCATTGGGCAGCGCGAAAGTCGTGACCTGACTGGCTATAACACCGACTATCAATGCGAGATTCATATCGAAAACGCAACGAGAGAAACACAACACCCGCAAATGCAATAATTAAAGTAATATCTTTGCTCGTTACAACGTCTCGTATCGTCCGAAACTGGATTATTATTTCGGCCGCTTTTTATTACTCCGGTGAAAGGGTTGTGAGGGCGTGTTGCACTCCTCTCTTCGCTTCAACTACAGAGAGAAGTGATGGAATTCGGTGTGTGATTAGATAATAATAATGCCGCCCCGGTTTATTAGGTGCATTGTGCGCACTCGCTCTGCCCGGGATAATA